ACTGCTGCCTCTGTTGGCTGCACTCTGGGCCTGGCTCTTATATAGGCCTCTGCCTAGCAGTGACTCACAAGGGTGCTTGACCCACCCAATCAGGAGCCACCTGAAACAAAAGCCCCAACTCCCTCTGACCAGGGCAGCCCAGAGAGCTCGTTAGCAGCAGCCCCACCTAGCTAGAACTTCCCAGGAGGAGTGAAGTCAAGGCCCCCTGCAGGAGTCCTTGCCCAGCTCTCCCTTCCTGCTAGCAGCAAGCACTGTCTAGTTCCTCGGGGGTCCCCAGAAAGTCTCCACAACTTCCAGCAAGGCCCACAAAAGGCCCAGGCAGAGCCCAGACACTGCTGCGCAAACTGCTGCGTTAAGAGTGATAGTGGTTGTGGAGTTAGACCTGAAGGAATATGTAGAATGGGAGATGGTTTCCGGAGAAGAGATATAGGCATTGTTGGATTTCATACAGCAAAAAGAATATTTCTTGATGATCAAACTCCAGACCATCTCGTCTTCCCAGACCTTCTCTTCTCAGATACCTTCATCCTTTGCCTTCCTTCGTGTCCATCCTTTGGATATTTGCAGATAGTTTCACACTCCACCCAGTTGTAGTTGCTGTTTGACTAATCACTACTAATTCACTTCTTACTGTTTCCACTCACAAGGTCACCTGCTTCATCCTCACATTCATGTCTGCACCCTTTCTCTAGCCCGTTCCATTCAAATTACTAAAGCTCTTCTTGTACTGAGAGATCTGGACATAATGCAGATATTTTTAGTGCTGAGCCCTCAACAGAGACATGGCCAACTGCTGGCTCCAGGATGGGGCTGATGTAAATTCTCTCTTATCTTCTCCTGCAGCCTCCTGATGAAGAGGAAAAACTTCCTCTACAACTTCAAGAACCTGCGCTGGGCCAAGGGCCGGCGTGAGACTTACCTCTGCTATGTTGTGAAGCGCCGTGACAGTGCCACTTCTTGCTCCCTGGACTTTGGATACCTGCGCAATCAGGTATGAGGAACACCTCAATTTCCTGTTCTTCTATTCTTCCTGTTCTCCTTCCTATTCTTCCTGTTCTCACCTGTGCTAAGGTGGATGCAGCTCCACTTTGCGTTGGTTTGCAGGAAGAGGAGGCCTGCAACAGCAATGCCATGCAGGCACTGGTGCACGTGTCCAAGAATATGTACACTGCACTGGTACAGAGCATTTGGGGGATGTGGTCTCCTGGTAAACCTGCAGCTTATGCTACCCACAACTGTCCTACCAGCAAGATATCCATATTCCCTGCTGCTCTACCAGTCCCTCTAATTTCCTACCCAGCCCCCATCCATTTTCTCTATTGTACATCCCTACAGATCACTGTGTCCCTGCATTTTTCTAGCCAGTCCTATACCTATGTACCAATGTCTTCTTCCTCCATGCGCTAACACTCAGACATATCCCCCACCTTGCTTATCCTCCCTTCATACTTTACTCAACTCATTCCTCCCTCCTCCTCACCCCCTTACAGCCTGTTTCACTCCTGCCTCATGCTTTGCCCCTTTCCCTCTTTCATGAAGATGGGCTGCCATGTAGAGGTGCTCTTCCTGCGCTACATCTCAGCCTGGGACCTGGACCCAGGCCGCTGCTACCGTATCACATGGTTCACCTCATGGAGCCCCTGTTACGACTGCGCCCGACACGTGGCTGACTTCTTGCGGGCCTATCCCAACTTGACCCTGCGCATCTTCACTGCCCGCCTCTACTTCTGCGAGGATCGCAAGGCAGAGCCTGAGGGGCTGAGGCGCCTGCACAGGGCTGGGGCCCAAATTGCCATCATGACCTTCAAAGGTGAGATGGGCAGGGGAGAAAGAGATGACTGAAAGCTATGGGGGTTAGACCTATAAGATGGGGGAGAAGCTGGGATAAGGAGCCAGAAAAGATGATTGCAGTGATTTAGTCATCCTAGGATATAGATCCTAGTGATCTATATCCTCTCCTTGGGCAGGCCTGAGCACTTCTTAACTCCCCTGTGCCTTGCACAGATTACTTCTACTGCTGGAACACATTTGTGGAGAACAGGGAAAAGACCTTCAAAGCCTGGGAGGGGCTGCATGAAAACTCTGTCCGTTTGTCCAGACAACTCCGACGGATCCTCTTGGTGAGGGCCATTTCTCCCTCTCCTTCCAGTGCCTCTTCCCCTCAGCTTTTTCCTCTCTTCCTTGCTATAGTTCCTCTCTCCTCTTGCTGCCCATCTGAACCATCTGTCATTTCATCCTTTCCTGTGTCTTCACCTTCCATGTCTCTCATGCCTCTTTTCCTCAGCTTCCTTCATGTCCCCCTCTCCTCATCCTCTTCTACCTCTCACCTCTCCTGCCATTCCTTCCTCATTCCCCATCTTCATAGTTTTCTTCTCACTTGACAACTGACCCATCACTTCTATTTTGTCCTCCAGCCACTGTATGAAGTAGATGATTTACGAGATGCCTTTAAAACCCTGGGACTTTGAAGTGAAAGTCATCAACAATCAGAAGATTACACAAACACTTCATCTCCATCTCTACTCCTCACAGTAGATCTTTCTCATCTTCACTCTTCTTATCTCTCCTTTCAGCCGTAAGTCCAGAGATAAGACTATCCTTACTTTTTCATTTCCAAGAAAAATTAGGCTGGTCTTCTGAAGACACATTGCCCTAGATTCACACCTTATCCATTGCTAGTTGGGAACAGCCAGGACTGTAGTGACATTGCCAGAGAGCAATTTGCCCTCCTTTGGCCCCTGCAGAGCTAATTTAGGTTGTTCACTCACATGAGCTCTGGGTTCAGCCTTGCCCAGGAGCAGACAGACTGCTAAGCTGCATGCTTCACTGTGTTCTCACTGACACTGCACTGATCTGCACTTACCACCAGGGCTTTGGGGAGCATGTCTCTTAGAGCTGCACTGAGCGTCCTTCCCTATTAGATGGTCTATCTTTGTAGATGCAGGTAGACTCTTGAAGACCACCAGCATTTTAAGTGGTTTAGCCTATGTCTAACAGCAAAATTGGCCAGTTATTGGATAGTTTGACTGAGAACCTTGCTTGGACAGCCCAGCTAGCTCAGCTTGAAAACCTCACCTGAAGCTAGCAGGTTCTGTAAGATGACTGTGGGCTGAAGGCAATTCATGAACAGCAGCCAAGGCTAACTCTTCATGAAAGACCTGCTGAGAGACCCCACAACTGAACTGTCAGTTTCCAAAGATCTGCCATCTTGTCTACCACAATATTATCTTCCCATAGTGCTGCCCTTACAGGAGAGGCTGAAATCAGAATATCCATCAAATCATCACGAAACCTCCTGCATAGGCCCAGTCCCTATAATATCCCTTTCCCAGAAAGGAGTGAGATTCAGTAGCTACAGGTCCAGGTTCATGCCCTGAGAGAGGTTGAAACTAGTAAAAAATTCTCTGAATGACATTTTCAAGAGTGAACTGCAATTCTGAGCGCCCAGTAAGATATTTTCCATGCAGAAATAGGAAGCCCACTCAATTCCTGTTAACTATATTGGGAACCATGGCAGCTCTGGGCCAGTACTGATCAGCATGTGGGCCTGTCATCAAGCCAGAAAAGGACTCACCAACCACTGCAATATTTTCCCATCATACATCTATTGGTTCAGGCTATGGAAAAATGTTTCATTTCCACATTGTAATGTCCCTTAAACTTAATTTCTCAATCGTGTAGGTTGAGGCTGTGACATTTAGACAATGCATTGGCATCCAGATCAGGCACTGTCTGTTTCTTGAAGTACTGCTGGGTGGAACACCACAGCTCCCACTACTGGGGTACTTTCCAGCCTCTGAGCATTTCCTCCTAAATCAGACTTGAGATATGCTCCCTCTCTAGCCTGCTGTCTTCCGCAGGAGGCAACCTAGCAGTCCCATAGTCCTGTTTTTTCAGGCCTTTTACCACCTCTACCCTAGCTAGATACATCTAGTTGGTGATTGGCCAAAGACCTGGCCAGCAAAACACCTGGCATGAACAAAGCTGTACAGCCTGTCTGAACCTTTTTGTAGGGTGCAAAATCAAAACACCCTTCCATCCTTCTGTCTGACAATCATTGTTTCCACTAGGGGAACCATTTAGCACTGCTAGAAGCCTGGTCTTGTAGACAAAGTCTTTAGGAGGTCGAAGACATTGGTTGATAGCCACACCCCTACTACCACCCTGTTACTACTTAAATTGCAGCTGGATTGCTTTCTATGGTTTAATCTCTTGAGGCTTTCCCTGCTCTTACTGTCAGCATCCCATGCTCTGGGGATGCTCTGTCATTTCCTTCATGGTAAGGGCAAGTTCTCTAGTCTACCCTGTTTCTCTTTCTGGGTAAGGCTACAGGCTCCTGTGTCACTCCTCGCAATGCTTCCTCTGGTGATGGGCCAGGATCAAGACAGTGGAGAGCTCTGCTCTCACAGTGCTTCCTGCTAGCTTCCTGTTAGCAGAGGTCAGAGCTGGGTGCATCACAAGCTTCCTACAACTTCAGGATCCTGAGGCACTCTCATCTCAGGGAATCTGGGCTAGGAATAGCAGTGTTAGTTCTTTGCAAAGCATTAATTTGCAAGCATGGTGCTGTATATTTCCTTGATATGGTGCACATTATTTATATATAAATAAAGGTCTTGTGTATAGCCTCTGGTTTTGTCATTATTTTCAGACTAACTGGGTGAGGGATGTAAAAGCTGACCTAAAAGACTGAAGTGTAATCTAACTCTTCTGATTTTTGAAGAGATAAATTAGCAATATCCTATTAAAAAAAAAAGTCTTTATCCTTTTCAACTAACTCTGAAGTTGTTCACAGTGTCACCCAGCAGATCAAGGTGGTTAAAGCACTCGGGCCACTGTTACTTTGGAAATACTATAAAAAAATCAGTGATGTAAATGCTAAAAGTTGTTCAAGATGACTAATTTATTGATTACAAGCCTATCATACAAATTCATGACTTGTAATTGACCAAAGTGGACACAGAAGTAGTGACAATATACATAGCAAAACCAGAGGAAAAGCAGAGATAGAAAAAGGATCTCTGTCTTCCAACTTCTGGTACTGGGCTATACTAAACCACCCTCCTTCCGAATGAAGTTGTTGGAAAGCTACTAGAAAAAATAGCATTTTCGAAAAAGGCAATTGAGATGCTGGCTTTTAGTTAAATGCTGTTATAGTCAAAATAATATTGACTGTCAAAACATGAAAATTGGTGATATTATACAACAGGAGAATAAATACAATGAGCAAGTATGAAGAAACATGCACTGTATTCAGAATACTTCCTAGGCTGTTTCATGTCAACCTAAGGAGGATTAAACAGCGAGTAGACTGTTTAGCTAATCTACGTGATTTAGCTATTGAAATTTAGCTCTGCCACTACAGACTTTTTTTTTTTAAACTGCACTTTGTCTGTTCTCATATACCAATCCTTTATCATTTTTTATAAGATACTCTTTGAATTGGCATTGTAATTCAGCCTCAACTGCATTAGGCATCTCCATCAAGAATAACTCCATGGAAGATGACTATTATGTAGTAGCATTATTTTTTCAACCTAATAGTTTCCTAATTGTTTATTAGATTACATATATAGGGAATATTTCATTATTGCTTATATTCTGTTATGTACTCCTTATGCTTCTAGCCTGCCCCTTATGGAGATTGTGGCTGTGCTATTACAGAATCACAGAATGGTCGAGGTTGGAAGGGACCTCTGGAGATCATCTAGTTCAACTCCCCTACAGCAGGCTGCTCAGGACCATGTCTAGACAGCTTTTGAATATCTCCAGAGATGAAGACTCCACAACTTCTCTGTGCAACCTATTCCAGGGCTCACCCACCCTCATAGTAAAAAATAGCTCTTAGATTCAGACAACACTTCCTGTGTTTCAGTTTATGGCTGTTGCCTCTTGTCCTGTCGCTGGGCACCACGGAGAAGAGACTGGCCTCATCCTCTCGACGCCCCCCCTTCACATACTTGTACACATTGATGAGATCGCCTCTGAGTCTTCTCTTCACTTCTCCAGGCTAAACAGGCCCAGCTCTCTCAGCCTTGTTTAGTGTCAGCTTGTCATATATGGCTTACATCTTCAGAGGAAGGTGTTGACAGGCATATATTCTAGTGAACAGATCTCCTGCATTGTAAGAAAGTATCACCCCATTTCTTGACTTCATCTCTGTTAGAGATTACTGCTGACAGAGCAGGGTCAGTGGAATGGATTGTATAAACAAATATATGCTGCGTAGGATTCTGCAGGGAACTTTCCCACTAAATCTCTACTCGGTCCATTAAAGGCTGAGTGTCACCATCTTATCTGAAATGTTCTCTGTATTTCAGTCTGACGTCTCCAAAGTGGCCTTTTCCTTAGTAATGTAAATTTCTCAGTCAAAGGAGGTGAGTTTATCACACCCTTGTTCTTCATGACTTTCCACCACATGAACTTCCATTCATGCTTTTTATGACACAAGTAGTTTATTGAATAACTCACATATACGTATTCCCAGCAGATCTCTTCTGGTAGTACGTTATCCTTTTCAGCTCAGAAAGTTGCTCTGCTGCCACAGACACTTACAATTCATACACCAAGTCAAAACCAAGTCAAAAAGAACACACTGGTCATGCAGTTCAGTGCATTCTCTTCCAAGCTTAAAATTTGCCCATTAGGTTAGGGTGGCATGCATTTGTTAATTGAGAGCCCACAGTGTTCACTCTGTCCCTCATGAAGGTGTTTTTTGAGGTAGCCAGTACTCAAGCTGAAAGAGTTTGACAACCTGACACTAGCTCTAGCACCAGCCCTGAATCTAGCACCGGAGTTGCTTGTCCCTCAGAGGAGACAGGGCCATTGAAAGTTCAGTAGTTTTTTTTCCCGATACTCCAGAAAAAGAGAAAGGGAGACCAAAATCCTCATACAGCCAACTCGTGCAACCTTCAGATGTCTCAGGTAATGGGAATAAATCCCAAGGCCACTTCCTGGAGGTTCAACTAGCTCTGTCACTGTACTAGATCTAAGATAGCTCTGTGTGTCTGTATGGTCCTGACCCTCAGCTAACCTGCTCTCATGGGCCACAAAGAGTGCAGCATTCTTGACCCTGAGCCAGAGCTGGTCCCTTCCTGGGCCTATGGGGAGTCATTTGGGTATTTTTGTCCTGTGCTCCCCTGGGCTCCTAGTCTCGGGAACATGGCTGCAGAGATAGACAAACCAGCACTATCTGTAGACATGTCAGGGCCTTTGCTTTTGTGTCCTGTGAAAGACCACAGTGTGATTAATCTGAAACCAGAATATTAACTCCTGGGAAAAGAATTGTAGCTGTTCCTCTGTGTCACCCTAGACTGTGAGTCTCACTAGTTTTGCCTCAGCCATGGCTTCAGAAAGAGGCTGGCAAGGATGCCATTTGCCACAAGGGCACATTGCTGGCTCATAGTCATCTTGGTGTCCACCAGGACTCTCAGGTCCTTCTCTGCAGGGCTGCTCTCCAGCAGGTGAGCCCCCAACCTGTACTGGTGCATGGTGTTATTTCTCCCGAGGTGCAGGAGGTTGCACTTCCCTTTATTGAACTCCATGAGGCTCCTGTCAGCCCATTTCTCCAGCCTGTCCAGGTCCCTCTGAATGGCAACACAGCTCTCTGGCAACACAGCTCTCTCTCAACACCACTCCTCCCAGTTTTGTATCCTCAGCAAACTTACTGAGGGTGCACTCTGTCCCTTCATCCAGGTCACTGATGAATAAGCTGAACAGGATTGGACCCAGTATGGACCCTGGGGGGACCTGCTTGTTACTGGCCTCCAACTAGACTTTGCATCACTGATCACAACCCTCTGAGCTCTGCTGTTCAGCCAGCTTTCAGTCCACCTCACTGTCTGCTCATCTAGCCTGTACTTCATCAGCTTGCCTATGAGGATGTTGTGGGAGACAGTGTCAAAAGCCTTGCTCAAGTCAAGGTAGACAACATCCACTGCTCTCCCCTCATCTACCCAGCAAATCATTTCATCATAGAAGGCTAGCAGGTTGGTTAAGCGTGATTTCCCCTTGGTGAATCTGTGCTGGCTACTCTCAATCACCTTCTTATCCTTCATATGCTTGGAAAGGATATACAGGATTGGCTTCTCCATCATCTTCCTAGGGATTTATATGAGGCTGGTTAGCCTGTAGTTCCTCAGCTCCTCCGTCTTGCCCTTTTTGAAGACTGGAGGGACACTGGCTTTCTTCCAATCCCCAGGCACCGCTCCCACTCGCCATGATTTTTCAAAGATGATCGAGGGTGGCCTTGCAGTGATGTTGGCCAGTTTCCTCAGCATTCATGGGTGCATGCCATCAGGCCCCGTGGACTTGTGTATGTCCAGTTTGCTTAAGTGAACCTTAACCTGATCTTCATTCACCAAGAGAAAGTCTTTCTTTCTCTAGATTTCCCCCCGGTCTCTGTGGCCTGGGAATGCTGAAGATCAGTCTTACCAGTAAAGACTGAGGCAAAGAAGGTATTAAATACCTCATTTTTTTGGTGCCTCTGCTTGATTCAGCAGTGGGCCCACATTTTCCTCCAGTCTTCCTTCTGCTTATGTACTTATGGAAGCCTTTCTTGTTATCCTTGACATCCCTCACCAGATTAGCCTCCAGATGGGCTTTGGCTTTCCTAGACCCATCCCCACATGCTCAGATGATGTCCCTATGTTCCTCCCAGGTTACCTGTCCCTGCTTCCACCTCCTGAACACTTCCTTCTTCTGTTTAAGTTTTGCCAGGAGCTCCCTGTTCACCCATGCAGGCCTCCTGCCACATTTGCTCCACTTCCTGTGCTTAATAGGATGGGCCTTTCTTGAGCTTGGAGGAGGTGACCCTTGAATATCAACCAGCTTTCTTGAACACCTCTTCCCTCTAGGGCCCTGTCCCGTGGGATTCTTCCAAGCAGGTCCCTGAAGAGGCCTAATTCTGCTCTCCTCAAGTCCAGTGCTGTGATCCTGCTTTTTGCCTGCTCCCTTCTCTCAAGATCCTGAGCTCCACCATCTCATGGTCACCGCAGCCAAAGTTGCTCCCAACCTTCACATCTCCAACCAGTCCTTCCTTCTTTTTAAGTATGAGGTCCAGCAGAGCACCTCACCTCATTGGCTCCTCTATCACCTGTACCGGGAAGTTGTCATCGATGCTCTCCAGGAGACTCCTGGATTGCTTGTGCCCTGCTGTGTTGTCCCTAAGGGCAGATATCGGGGTGGTTCAAGTCTCCCATGAGGACCAGGGCCTGCAAACGTGAGGCTACTTCTAGCTGTCTGTAGATGGTCTCATCTACTTCTTCTTCCTGACCAGGCAGCCTATAGCAAACACCCACAACAATGTCACTCATATTGGTCTGCCCCTTAATCCTTATCCATAAGCTCTCAGTTGACTCATCATCCACTCTAGGCAGAGCTCCATGCACTGCAACTGCTCTCACATAGAGGGCAACTCCTCCTCCTCACCTTCCTGGCCTGTATCCTAAAGAGCCTGTATCCATCCATCATACAACTGCTACCACAAACTTTGTTTTCTGCAAAAGTGTGCACCTCTGTGTTCTCTTGTTACCCTCATCTTTACTACAGCTACAATTAGTGAGAGCATCCAAAAGATTGCTCAGCAGGTCTGGTGCAAACATGAGTTCTTGCCAGGCCTGCCCTTCAGAAAACTGCCCCCGTGACTGGATGTGCAGTTTGGGGTGCTTTTTCCATGCTCAAATTATGTATCCCATTTCTGTAAGCACACCTTCATGAAGCCCACAGTGCTGCTGGAGAGTTATCCAGCAGAGCAATTCTGATTCAAAACACATTAATTTGTGTTTGGTTTATCATGGATTACCAATCAGTCAGGGATGACTCCTAAGTCTTATGAAATACACTGGACAAGGAAGGTACAGAGAAGGTGCCACTCAGATGTGCCACAGCAGATGTGCAAATGAAGGAATGCTGAAGCATCTTAAATGCAGACTATATCCAGTGAGTGTGGAAGCTCTTTGTGTAGGGGTTTACCGGACTGAGTACACATCTGCAGTCTTTGCAAAGAGTTTCAGTCATGTTGATGATGGCATTAATAGGAGAATCTCTCTGCTTCTCTCATTTCAGGAGAGGTTTCCTTTCTCAACAAAACCCTGAAAATCCCCCAGTTCGCAGATATCTCCCCTGTGCTGCCTAGATAAAATTTCCCTGTCTCTTCTCTGGCCCCAGGGCTTATGCCAGCACACCTTGGCAGCAGAAAAGCACTGCTTGCACATGTTAGAGGGTGACTTCTTTCTTTTGCTGAGAAAAAGAAGCCAGGATGCTCTCTGAAGCTGAAAGCTAGGAGGAGGGGGGTTTCTGGCTCTGTCCTAGGAGAGTTACTGTCTTGTCAGACATACTTCTTTTATGGGCTGTCTGATTAAAGGAGAACCAACTGTCTCTCTTCTATTTGCTCAGCACTTTCATAGGATGGACCTTGGTTGCATTTTCAGCTTATGAATGAGCATTTATTCAGTGTAGTCACAGACAGCCTTTGAGAGGAGGCTTCTGAACATGTCTGGGGTTCAACTTTTCCTCCTATTGAGTCCTCTTCTGCAGCATTTCTTTATTGTCATTAGAGATCAGGAAGAGTTAGAGTTTTCCCTGCCTTAAGTCCAACCACTTGGAGATCTCACGTCTCTGACCTCAGAAAAGCCCTTTCAAACATGAGTGAGTGTTGAAGACCTCCTTCTTGAGGAGAAACCACTCTTAGGTAGATGATGGTCTCCTTTCTTCCTTCAGAGAGGTGTATCTCAACTTTCTGCGTTTGTCAAGGAAGATGATTAAAGCTTTAATGATAACTTGTAAGTGAACTCTCTCATCAAATGTATATTTGAGCACTTCATCTTGGACAAAGCTTGCTGAAAAGATCAAAAGATCAAGGTGAAAAGATCTTGCTATAAGTGAGAATAAACCATTGTACTGTTTATGGAACTATGCTTCAGGTGCTTCAGAGGAAAGGCCTGAGTTTCATATAATTGTACATTTTGAATAATTTTTCTGCATATAAGAATAAATCTCATTTTCTGCCAATGAATTATAACCATGCCTCTTAAACTTAAAAGCAGGTTTCAAAGAAGTTATCCAAATATCCTATTTTTAACCAAAAACATGTATCAGCTCTCACCAGCTCAGGGGTGAGGGAAGACTGCTGGTAAGGGCAGTCTTGTAGAGCCTTGTTATTACCACTGATGTCACACCATTTTTTTCGTTTTCCTCCTACATCACCCCAGCTGAGCCTGGGCATGTGCTCTGTCATTGGCTGAGAGTGGAGCTTCAGTTTTCAGGAACAGAAACAGGAAGAAGAACAGCACTGAAGAAAAACATAGCAGTGTCGGAGAGTCCACAGGGAGAGAAGAAGCCATGTACAAGAAAAAGCTGCGAGGGTAAAAAAAAATGCAAACAAAAAAAGCCCAGCTTAAGCTCTATGTTGTCATTGCTCCATACCAAGCAAACTCCTTGACTTGTCACCCCAAAGCTTTGCTTTATATTTGTGCTGTGTGTTCAGCTTGCCTGGGGGAGGGGGAGTGCATGACTTGTACCAGTAGTATCTAAGTAGAAACTCTCATCCCAAATGTGGGCACTGTGGGGCACTTTCCAAGGCTGCAAGGGGCTGCAACACAGTCTGGGTATGTTGGGAAAGTTCCTGCCTGGTCCCCTGGATCTTTGCTGTTCTGAACATAAAATGGTTGTAGGAGTCATGAAACAAGAGATGCTGAGAAAAAGAGTTGAAGTTGGAGGTGGGGAAGGTTAAGACAGGGAGTTGCCTCATCCCACTGTTGGAGAACAAGAGAACTTGCAAGCTGCTCTGCCCTGCTTTTGAGGTCTTGAAATGGCTGCTGTTGCACAAAATAAACAGGAAGTTTCAGATCAGACATTTTCTGTCTAAAAGAGAAAAAAAAAGAATGTAGAATTTAGTAAAGAATTGTACCAGGTCTGCAAAGTGTTAGCAATGGAGGAACAACGCAGGATAAAGAAGTTTTGATGCATACAGAGTCACACATTTCTAGATATTACCATTATTATTAGTAGTATTGCAATGATTGGAATTCTAAATAATAGCTAATAAAAAAAGTGCAAAATGTGGCAACAGGAAGGAAGGAAAATTGTTACATTTCTATAATGATGTTGTTAGCTCAATTCCAAATACAGATTATGGCACCAAGTTTTAATAAGAGAGATTAATTTTAGAATAAGATGTTTTCATAAAATTAGTACATTTTAGAATAAATTCATTACATTCTTGTTTAAGAAACCAATGATGGGACAATAGAAGAGGTCTAAATAACACATTTTAAAGATATTTGTAAGCAGTCGATACATTCCTAAAGTTTAGTGCATATTTACATAACTGGTACATGTTAATGGGAAAGAAAATAAAACCTAGGAACTAGTTTATTGGCTGTCATCCCTCTGCCACTTTCTCCCCTAACTCCGCTAAACATGTTAGGGTACAATTCGCCTTTCAAATACTTGGTCAGTCTTTATATTTTTAGTTATTTGGTGTATTTCTCTCCAGCTCTTAATTTCTGAAAGAGTTAAAAGTTCGCCTTCATGAGATTGATGAATCAAACTGAGAAAGAAAAGTAAAAAAGCTTTAGGACTTATTTTGGATTTGCTGAATCTTAATTTTGTCTCATATTTGTATCAAGGAACCAGCTATTAAGTGATTTTTTGTGAGTTAGTCTCTATGTATGTGAGTTCTGTATATAACAATGCTAAAAAGCAAGGAGGACTGTGACAGCTGTAAGCATAAAAAATGAAAATGATTGCATGGCTTTGTGCAGTTTATCTGTAAACACACAATTTGTTTTAAACAGGTTCTTATCTGGTTTGGAGAGAAAAGGGAACAGCTATTGAGATTCTGTATATATTCTATGGTGTGTGAATGTTTTATGACATATTTTTAATTTCCTGTCTGTCTTTCTGTTAGAGTTGTTTAACTTTACATTAATCCATTATTTAAAAAAATAGTTATATCTGTAGCAAGTATCTATAAAAATGCAGACCTTTGTGAATATTGCATTAAGCTGATTACACAATGCATTTCACTTGGCTAAACAAATACTTAAGGTGGCTATATCTTGAACATTAGTGTATGACAAGATTGTCCTAAAGAAATAGCTTTATATCACTTAAAATGTGCAGAGTTCACCCACTGCAATAGATTATCCAGAGTGCAGTATTTTATGGTCAAAAAAAAGATAAGAGGGTGGTTAAAGCCAGTATAAGTAAGATCTGAAAATTTTTACTTGTTTGGGTGTTATAATCAGATGGCAACAACTACAGATACCTTTGAACAAGTCAGGTCACTGTGTTCTGTTGTGACTCTGTTTTCCAAAACGATAAAGATACCTTCCTTCAGAATTAGATAACTGACTGGGCTTCAGTATGGGGAATTTGATGTATTTTCCTTGGTGAACTTCAGCTGTCACTATATTGCCTGTGGAATATATATGTAATATATAATACATACATACATACATATATATATTGCCTAATGTTCAAGAACAAGCTTTAAAGAAATTTAAGCTAATAAACACTAACTTCCAGAAAATGTAATAGAAAAAATACATCTCTCTGAACCTCTAAAATAAGAAAAAAAAAATTAAGCCTGTGATTCCTTTTTGTCTCTCTGCTGTTTTTTAAAGACATGCTAAAGGAAGTACGTATCATATTAAAAATTTATTCCTTTATCAGAATGAAACAAACAAAGCTAAATGCCACATTTTCGTAAATTCATTAGAAAGTCTGATAAAGAAATGTGCATGCATATTTTCTGTGGTTTATATACTCAGAAAAAACAGATGCTCTGTGGTTTATAAACCAGTTTCTCACTGGTTTCTGTAAATACACATTTTAATGTGTAGGAATGGAATGAGGAAGGAGACAGGGCTAGAAGACAAAACTTTCTGACAGACTCAGGTAAATGAGATACATTTTTACATTGATAATAAGTCCCACAGAGAATATGTGACAGTTGCTTGATCTGCAAGACTAATTTGTCCTTGGTTCAGATAATGGGAGGTTTAGTTATTTGTGAGTGCAAATCTGTAAGACAATCTAGATGCTTATTGCTTCTCTATTTTTCTGTTAAGAATCTGTACAGCTGTCTATTAAATTTATTCTGAATTACATGAATGTGGAAAAATATATATCTAAAATGCATTCTAATGCACATCTCTATATAAAACAATTGTACAAAGGCTACAAAGTGCTAATGGTGACTGAATATATTATGTATGTATAATGGATAATTACTGATAAAAAAGATATGCTCTCTCACTACTAACACTGGCAGTCTTTGTACAGTTACTTAATTGTAAATATTTAGAGATTTGATCTGAACAGATATGTATCTAATAGATGGACTATCTGTCAGAAAATGGCATTCTTGGGAGCTGCATCATTTTATATAGAACACTTCTTTATCCTTTTCTCATCTATAATTGTGCTGGCTATGCTAAGCCTCATGAAAATAAGAACAGTGAAAGAATCCAATAAGGACAAATGTTCAGTTTCATAAATTATCAGTTGTTTTCTTTTTTCGTTTGTTTGTTTTTCTTTTTATAAAATTCATGACAGTTCCCCAAAACCCTATATCAGAAATGCTCCACAGGAGTCCTGAAAAAATGTCTGACACATAAAAGAAATACAGAAGGATGTCAGAAATACGTGCACTGATGAGGAAGAGGACAGCTGTAGATAGGGGTGAGAAAATGAAAATTCTGCATGCAGTTGCATACGAAGGGGAAATTAGTGGTTTAGAGTTTGGTTCCTTTACCCTACCATGGTGCCTACCTCTCTATTCTCTTTGCATTGCTCCCTATGTTTTTCCTTTCTAGTTTTTCTCTCATTTCTTCCATGTTCCCCCTTTTATCTGAACTGGAAAATTACCGAAAACAAAGTTGTAAGCACCAATTCCTTGGAATTTCTCTTCTGTTTCAGCATGTATATGTCCAAGAAGGCATTTAAGTATCATTTTGACCCCCGTGAGAGTCCACGTGCTACATACCTACTATGTGTAATCCAGTGGGGTTGTAATGGCCTGCCTTGGATACACTGGGTCAAAAATGGGCGTTCTCATGCTGAAAGGTACTTCCTGCAGAAAGTCTTTAAGATGAGAAGATCCAATAATAATATCAACTGTTCCATCACCTTGTACTTGTCCTGGAGTCCCTGTAGAAATTGCTGCTATGAAATGCAGTATTTCTTAAAAAAGCACCCAAATGTGAATATATGCATATACTTAGCACGGCTTTATTACACGGAAGATGAAGAGATCTGTAAAGCTCTGAAGGACCTTTCTGAGAAGAAAGTCATCATTTCTGTCATGAAAATTGAAGGTAAGGTTTCCTGTCCTTTATGGGACTGGGAAAGGGTGAAATGATGATCTTTGTGCATAGGTGAATCTGGCACAGTGTTGCTTCTATGCCCATTATACTCATCCATCTCCTTTGGCAGCCTATCCATCACCTTTCAACAAGGGAAATTCACATCCAAAAAATGATGTTCAGATATTACAGAGGAAGGGGAGCAGGTATCTTAGTAACCAAACCTGTGTGAAAAATCTCCCTGTTTACAGACATCATTTTTCCATCACTCCTGAGGGCATGGGAGACAGGGTGCTTCTCCCTTGTCCTACAGAATGAAATGCAGCTGCTAAGAAAAAGCTGGTTCAAGGTGTCCTCTGCTGGTGACATAGGAAAAAAAAGACGATGGCAATGTTTCCAAACGCTGCAGAGTTGACAGTATCCCTCAGCTGACGCTGTCCATGGCCAGGCTGTTTCTGTGGTATGGGCACAAGGCAGGAGTTACAAAGTCTTGTTCCTTGAGCTTGTCTGGTATCTGAGTTTACTCAGGTCAGTTATCTTGTTTCAATTTTTCCAGACTATATTTACTGTTGGAAAACGTTTGTCAGTGGAAATGCTGCTGCTGGTTCCTGGTTTAAGGACTTTGAATCGCAGATAAATAAGAATCATTTCCAGCTCAAGCGCATCCTTGAGGTTAGTAGACTCTGAAGAGAACCACATTAAATGATTTCCAGCCTAGGGTCACTGAGGTGGCAAATGCAGGAAAGAAGCTGCTCACATCTAGCTGAAGTTTAAAGACTGCTGAAGCATGCTTTTAGGAAAAGCAATAAACTAAAATTGCAAGAACTATCCCATCCCACTGAGAGAGAAACACTGCAGATTTTCCTCCGTCATAGTATAAAGCAAAGGCTAAGAGCATAGCTTATCTTCTTCACATTCCAGAGTGGGAAATCCCTTAATCGTCATCTGAAACTCTAGCCTCATCTAAGAAACCCTTCCCCAGATTCCTTCCTAATCTGTTTCTGAGCATGGCTTTCCCTGCTCCAAATTATGCTGCTGAACTACTTTTTGTCAATATCTGCAATGGTCAGACAGCTCCTTCCAGGCACTACCATACCGTACATAGTTCATTGAACTCCCTTCCAGATTTTATTCAGCAACTTTGCAGACTGGTCAGAAGGATGCAGTTTCTGCAAGATGAGCAGAGCTCATCAAAACAGAATGTCTGCTGCCTGGGAAATTCCACCCTTGTTTTTGTTCTATGTCAGAACTTGTAAAGGGCAGGAGAGCAAAGAGAGAGTGTGTACACCGACAATGCTAAGAGTTTGTGCCCCTGTAGATGAGAGACTCTGCTTGAATAAATAGGTGCACGTTCTGGGCCTGGGACAGCCATGTACCAAAAAACCCTAACAAAACTAATATATTTTCTGCAACATTTTGATTTCAATGTATTGCAGCTTTCTGACAAATGCTATTTTTAGTGAAATGGAGTGAAACATCTTTGGCTAAGTAGGTCATTGAACATCTGGGAAATCCATTTTATATGGCATTTATGGAAAAGATATATTCTGGGCTGTTACAAGTAATAGACCAGTCTCCTGCTACACCCATTTCAAATCACAGCAAAACCAAAGTGTAGTTGTTAAAGAATACTAATTTCTTATTTTTATTTTCATTTCAGGTTTCACCATTATAGTAAGAGATTTCACCCACAAATATGGCCAGCCACCAGCTTTCCGCTTGTATGTAGAAGAGACCAATCATAAAATGTTGCTAATATTCCCCAGTTTCTAAAAGCTGCCAATATCCTGGACAGACAGCTTGTCAATGGAAGTCTTGAGTATACTGGACCATGCTAAAAATCCCTGATGAGAAACCCCTGGATGTGGAAATGGAGGCAGGTTGCAGCCAGAATGGGGAACTGTTCCAGGCCTGCTATTCTGCTAACATTTTTCTTCCTCTGATGTGGGCTACTGCTGCAAGGACTGATGGGAAAAGGGTACTGAAAGAGTAGAGCTAAATTAGCACCAGAACAAGTGATTGATTCACTGTACCTTAGTTCCTCTGAGCCATTTCTTTGTAAACAGGATATTTCCTTGCCTCTTGTAAATGAATCTCTTCTGGGTGTAGGATGGATGCCTCAGGGTATCAAAAGGGACATCTCTGGAGACTTGCTGTCCTCTGCGCTAGCCTCGTCTCCTACCTAAATCTACAAAGGAGCAAAAAGGAACCAAATATCACAAGAAATGCCCCAGCAGGGCAGAGAGAATAGTCCAGACACTTATCCAGCAGTGGCATGAGATGATGCTGTTTAGGGAGAGCAGGCAAGCTTGGCCACTATCTATAGTTCATTCTGATCCATTCACACTACCTCAATATCCACAGTGATTAGAGTAGGGAGGTTAGGGGGTACAGCTGGGCATCTTCCCTTTAGTGTCTGCTTATGGACCTGTTACCATTAATTTCTTAGATCTCTTTTGATCCTGTCCTGTCATCTGCATCCACAGCTTACTGGGGCAGCAGATTCCAGAAGTTCACAGCTTGTTGTGTAAAGAGGTACTTTTCTCTGTTTTAAACTGATCTACTAATAACAACAAATGCCAGTTCTTGCTATACTAATGTCTCATTGTTAATCACTTAAACATGTGCCTGCATTTGAAGACTGTGCTAGCCTGGAGAACTTTCCGCTGGCTCAGTAGGAGCTACAACATGTAACTAACAGCTCCACTTCATCTTAAAAGAGCCACTCAAAAATCCACAGATGACCCATTCAACAGAAGCAAATCCCCCATCTATTAAGTAGGTTGACTGTGGAAATGAAGCTTACAGAATCCATGGCCATTGCATTTCAGCAGCTCTAGTTGTCTAGTAAAAGAAATAAGAAGGTATTTTTATCCACAAACCCCTCCTAGAACTAGAGTGCTAGATATGTCCACTGGAAACTCCTTGAAAAGCAAGGTTCCTTGGGTTTCACAAAGAACTGCAGAAATTCAACTACATCCTTTGCAATAATCAAGCTGGATTGTTCACTCCTCTGTTGGGCATGTACTGTCACTATTGAGTGCATTAGAACAGAACCTCTCTTTCCCCTATCCCTGATGTTATGTTATTTTTGCAAGACTAGAAGAAATGCTCATGGATTTATACCTATTTTAGTCATTAAACTCTAACTCTGTCATTGTGTCTGATTCTTCTCTCATTTTTATTGCTAATCTTTTAACACAGTCAATAGAATTATTCAGCATTTTAGAGTGATCTAACCTAAACCTGGCTTACGTAACAGGGAGATTACATGTTGTAACTCACAAAATGGCAGCACTCTTCCATTGAGTCATGTCTGCTTTGGTAGATATGTCACCAGTCTCTACTGGGTTCTTGAGTGGCAGCCTGGCTTCAACACATAACAGTTCCACTCTGGGCACTCTACTTCTACACAGTGTCAGACATTCACATAACAATATCCCTCCTCAGTCTCTACTGCCAAAGGTCTTTATGTTGGCACAGGCTGCCAATGAAATCAATCCACAATGCTATCACCATACACCTTTCCAGCAGCTTCAGGTATGGTTCTCTTGTCACTTGTTGATCCATGGTTCACGGTAAGGTGCATTACACTTAATTCTAGTTTACATTGTCCTGTTGGCCATAGCTTACCACTCTTGGCCCCTGTTTGTGTTGCAAACAGCTCTTAGCCAAAGTGAGACTGTGACATTGCTGTGTCACAAGCAAGCAAAAAACCCAAACTGCTTTCAGAATAAAAAATCCAAAGGCAACTATTATGTCTATGCCTGTCAAGTCCTTGAATGCACTAAAAAGCCTTAATGGCCCTGACCAGCCTCCCTGGGAGCCTCCACTCTCTCCCTCTGCCCATGGACTCCAGGCCCTCATTTAAGTTCAGCCCTGGGCCTTTAGTCCCTGCCTAAGCTACAAGATAGGTGTACCTGTCTCCAGCCCTATCACAGCCAGGCCTGTGCTTGGCTACAGACCCTGTTAATGCAGACCCTAACCTGTAGATTGACTTCCTGGTTTGACCTCAGGCCTGCCAGGTAATCACTGGATTATATGTGGCCCCGGTTACCATGAAAAGATCTGATTCTCCGCAGAAAATTGACCTCCCAACTTGACCTCAGACCTTGTCCCATAAACTTATTAAGCAATCTGGGCCTCAGTCAACACCAGCTACCATTCCCTGGCCTGACCTGCTCATCTTACTTGGGTACTGTGAGATGGGGGCGTGGTGGTGGAGCCCTGCCCTGTGAGCCTTACTGCCCTCAGCTTCTAGCTCCCTGGTCTCTAGGGAGCAGCTGGCCCTTGCTGCTCCCTGACAGTTACCTCAGGCTATTGTGAGCCTTCAGCCAACTGCCATAGAGCCTGACCAACAGCTGTGCAGGACCTTGCTTTTATGACTCCTCCTGAGTGACTAGCCTGTGATCTCCCCACAGTGTCAAACCCCTGCCTAACCACAGACATCTGAGTAAAAACCCGCACTGGGTGGGGGGGCCTCCCCCTAGTCCATTTCAGCTCAAGTCTAGGTCTTCAGTCCCTACGTGAGTAATGTTGCAGCTGTGCCTGTCTCACAGCTGTGCGTGTGTCTGGCCATGAGTCCTGTTGATCTGGACCCTGACCTGCAAACTGACTTCTGGACTTGGACTTGGACCTGTCTGATCACTATAGACCTGCTCAGCGATCACTGGACTGCATCCGACCCAGTTACCATCACAGGATCTGAACCTGATCTGTGGATTGACTTCCTGGCTTGACCTTGGACTGCCTCATCACCATAAACTTGCCTGATGATCTGCACTCTTGGTTGACACTGGCTGCGATCCTTAGGCCTGCCCTCCTTGTACTTGGGTGTCTTGCACTTCTCATGTACAAAGAAACAGAAGGGACTGAATCCAGTTCCATGTCACACCTCTGTGATCACTGCTAGTTCCTTATGTACTGTGGCCTCTCCTCTTCCCCAGAGCAGGAACAGGCTCTAGGGAGCCTGTTCCTAAAATATCACATGTGATATTTTAGTTACCTGTGGACCGAAATATGTGCTTAAAATCAGTAGAGATTATGGGTAATATGTAGAGCTATACATAGGGTTATATATGTATATTTTACACACACACACACACACACACACACACACACACACACACACACACACACACACAAGCATGTGCAAGAGGTCAGACTAGATAACACAGTGGAACTGAACCCCCCTTCCCAAATTTGACTTCTGCTATCTGCTCTATTTGATATAGAGCAAAGATGGCAGATGCTGTTTATTGGATCCTGAGAAAAAAGAAAGAAGGTCTCCATCCCTGCCCAGAAGAAGCCCTAGATCCTGCAATCTGTTTTTTTTTTTTTTAAGAAAACTGTGTGTTCAGCTGTTTTCCAGCATTTGCATATTTGGAGTCTGTAACCTTTGTGCATGGACACTGTGGTGATTACATAAAGGAAAAGAGACTTAATGTACTATAAAAAGCTTAATCTGGCCTACTGTGCACAGCCCACCTCACCTCAACACAATGTATGGCCTCATCCATCACTTCTCCTCCGTCTCATTCATATCACCTGATAGCCTTCTAGGATGGAATGACTGGCTGGGTAGATGAGGGCAGAGCAGTGGATGTTGTCTCCCTGGACTTGAGCAAGGCTTTTGACACTGTCTCCCATCCCATCCTCAAAGGCGAGCTCAGGAGGTGTGGGTTGGATGAGTGGCCAGTGAGGTGGATTGAGAACTGGCTGGATGGCCGAGCTCTGAGGGTTGCGGTCAGTGGCACAGAGTCTGGCTGGAGGCTTGTAGCTAGCGGTGTCCCGCAGGGGTCAGTCCTGGGTCCAGTCTTGTTCAATGTATTCATCAATGACCTGGAGGAAGGGACAGAGTGCACCCTCAGCAAGTTGGCTGATGATACAAACTTGGGAGGAGTGGCTGACACACCAGAAGACTGCGCTGCCATTCAGAGGGACCTGGACAGGCTGGAGAGTTGGGCAGAGAGGAACCTCATGAAGTGCAATAAGGGCAAGTGCAGGGTCCTGCCCCTAGGGAGGAAGAACCCCAGGCAGCAGGACAGGCTGGGGGTTGACCTGCTGGAAAGCAGCTCTGGAGAGAAGGACCTGGGAGTCCTGGTGGACAACAAGTGAAGCATGAGGCAGCAATGTGCCCTGCTGGCCAAGAAGGCCAATGGTCTCCTGGGGTGCATTAGGCAGAGTGGAGGGAGGTGATCCTGCCCCTCTCCCCAGCCCTGGGGAGGCCTCCCCTGGAGTACTGTGTCCAACTCTGGGCTCCCCAGGACAAGAGAGACATGGCACTACTGGAGAGAGTCCAACGGAGGGCTACAAAGATGATGAAGGGACTGGAGCATCTCTCCTCTGAGGAAAGGCTGGGAGAGCTGGGCCTGTTTCGCCTGGAGAAGAGAAGACTCAGAGGCGATCTCATCAATGTGTACAAGTATGTGAAGGGGGGGGCGTCGAGAGGATGAGGCCAGTCTCTTCTCCATGGTGCCCAGCGACAGGACAAGAGGCAAGTTCCATCTGAACCTGAGGAAAAACTTCTTTCCTGTGAGGGTGAGTGAGCACTGGAGCAGGTTGCCCAGAGAGGTGGTGGAGTCTCCTTTGCTGCAGATATTCAAAACCTGTCTGGATGCGATCTTGGGCAACGTGCTCTAGGTGACCCTGCTTGAGCAGGGGGGTTGGACTAGATGATCTCCAGAGGTCCCTTTCATCCTCAACCATTCTGTGGTTCTGTAACCCTTTGCAAGACTATCCCTACCTCACTATAGGCTGTTCACATCTTGCCAACTTCCAGACCAAGCATATACCCTACCTCCTACCCACCACACAACATGATAGCTGCTTTCCTCACAGTCTGCTCCCTGACTGGACTAAGACACTGCTAGCTGTGTCTGTCTTCCTGCAGTGTTCCTGGTGAGGCTCAGATCTGTTAGGTACCAAAGGGATTGGAGCCCCTACTCACTGCTGTCGTCATCACCATTAAAAAAAGTAGCACTGATATAAACACATAGCTAAGTCCTTCCTACAAGTCACCTGTTTTGGGCCTTGCTCAGATAAGGGCTTTACCCACATGCCCTCATGGCTGGCTGACTTTGAGTTTTGTTGTTCGGAATCAGACTCATTAAGCTGGCTCACTGCGTAGTAACAGGGTGTTACCAGTTATTTTAAGCTCTTACCTTTCAGTTGCCAAGTGTGGAAACTGAATGAGATATAAAGTATGATGATGATATATAAACCTGGAGTTAGAGGAAGAAAACTGTGCTGGGAGAGATTAAAAGTATTGTTATGAATGAGTATTCTCATAGGTCAGTATTTTAAATTCATATGCATCTAAAGATGCGCGTTTGTGAATCTACAAGTTTGTATTACCAGTGGGTGGTAAGAATGGGACACAGAGAGATGTCCTCTTCATGGGCAATGTCTAGTATTCCTCATCAACATCAGCTCACCCAACTCTATGGTGCTCAATGATGTTGAAGAACTGTGGACCTTGTCAGGCCAGCCAGAGTGTAAAACTTGCCCATTTAACAACACTGTATTGCTGCTAGGTCTGAGGATTTAGCAGTAGTCTCCTCCACCCTTAGAAGAATCATCACTTGTCTGTGGGCAGTATCCACTTGGCTGACTGAAGGAGCCATTTACTGAAAGATAAAAAAAAAGAAGAGACCCTTTGTTCCAAATGCTAGTTCCACCACCCAACTGATTGGTCTCATTTCCCCAAACTATAGGAGCTGTCGGGAAAAATTTCTTCATCCTCCTCCTCCTTCTCCTGAAGAATATCCTCCCAGTAGCTTTGCTGCCTGCATAGATGTGTATGCTACTGATTTTAGCAACATCCTGGAGGTTAGTGGATCCTTACAGCAGGGTACTTTATTTCCCAGAATGGTCCTCTGTCATGGGTCAACATTTAGGAAGGAGCATTACAAAGTTCTTCACACCTGCCCACAATTTAAATACTGCTGTGTTTGCTGGAGTGAAAAGCAGGAGGGTAGCATTGTCAAAGATGCCTTGTCCCATTATAGTTTGGATGCTTGCCTAGGATGCAGGGCAGCCCTGTGTAATACTCTTGCAAGCTTGAGAAGGCTCCAGCGCTTGTCTCTTCTGCAGGCCCATGTCTTGTCCAGTTTGGACTTGCTTTTGCTCAGAACTCCATCTGAGACCTTTGGAAAT